AAACCGGTGAGTTCTGCAAGTTTTAATTCAAAATGCGAGGTCCATGATGTCATAATTGGTAGTTAGTGCATTTATAAACATTAAGTTTCTAACGAGACTGTAGCTCCTCCGGGTTGTATTTATATTGCCCTATTCACACGGAGAGTTTAATTCGCAGTAAATTTATCTGAGGTAAACTAATGCAAATCAAAATAATGCTAATTAAATTGCGTTCAGCCGACAGCTAGAGTAAAGTACACAGGGCATAAGAGTGTAAGTTTGTACTTTTAAGAGAAGCGGAAAGAAGCATCTTGACTTGGAACATTAGGTTGAATAATGATTTTTGGTCTTGTCTCTTTTTAAAGTTAACATTTTTTGTGTTAGAATAGAAATGTTAATTCCCTCTAAGCATTTTAAGTCATATCTTTCTAATACTTGTCAGTTGATTCCCTGTAAGCATTTGAATTTAAGTCATATCTTTCTAATACTTGTCAGTCAAATGATGTTTAAAATAAAGAGTATTCAAATTTTTAATTCTTAATGTCTAATACAGTGCAAAAATGTACATTTTTTAAAACATGTACCCCGATGTATCTATTTTTCGACAACCGTATAAAAGAAATGCACAATATTGTGAAAAATATTTATTGTCCAGATGTTCCTGTTCATGACATATTGTATACAGTAGTATATTTCGTGAATATTTTTTTTTTTCAATGGGGTTCCCTATAAAGTAAAATTGTCCATGTGTTTTTTCTTCACCTTCGGAGAGGTATCTATATATTGGTGGATGTGCTATAAATAGAACAGGGAACCTCGTTCAGTGTGTATTTCACTACATGGTTTTGAAGAACATGTATTTGTCAGTCACATAACATCTGTAACAGTTATTCTGTATTGTTTTACTATCCAATATTGCCTGAAAAAGTGATATTATCAAAATTTTCTCGATAATTCGAGGAATTTATTTTAAGACCAGTGTTGCTATAAATCTTCATTTTGAAAGCATATTGTAGAAAGGTTAATGTTTGTTAAGTCTTTTTCTATGAAGCTCCAAATTAGTTAAAAACTGCCATTTTTCCAAATATTCAGACATATATCTATATTCAGCCTCTTGATACTACAAATAGAAATGGAAATCCCCCTCAACCATTGTCCACACCAGCTTGTGGTGCCCAGCTATTGTCATTAACATCTTATATTTACAATATACTTCCTAGTTTTGCAGCAATGACATCGAAGATTTGATTTTTTTTTTCAGATTTTTCTAAAATACATCTATTTATAGATACATGTTACTAAAAATGTAGAATAAAAGCCCAGTGGTATTTTACATGACCCGACACTACTACTTCTCAAGTATTAAAACAAACATAGGATTTGAAAATTTTCTGCGGACAAATTTTCTTCAAAATCTCAAAAATACAAATTCCCCAATTTTCTCAAATTTTAAGAGGAAATGTCAGGTTGTAAGACCTTTTTCCTACAGGAACAAAATTCTAGAATCAACGATTATATGCCCTGTGTACCTTAAACGTTCATGTTAACATATGAACCAATGATTTTATTATAATTGATTAGATACCCAAAAATATTCATTCACATTTCCTCAATTTTCATGCATTCTTTTAGTTGACAAGGGTAAAAAATGGGCGAATTTAATTGATCTCCCTGTCAACCGAGTGCATGTGTGGAACTTCCAATACCATATATACTAGTTTTGTTCCAAGACACACTTGTGTAAATTTCATATGCGTAATTTTCTTGCAAGTTAATGCATTGTGACGTCATTTATTGTGCCATTATTCACAAATACTGAATATGCCTTACAAAAGGCAAAAGAATATGTTATTTTTCAAAAGGTCGAATGAACACAAACTCCGATCCAAAATGTACAAATATATAATGAAAGAACTGCAGCAATAACATTTTAAAACATATTTATGACTATTTTTTTGATCGATGATTTGCTCAAATTAGAATACCATGTAGAAATTTCTGAGATTCAACTGTCTTCGGCAAAATTCGAACACATTGCAAATTTAAACAACTCGTTATTCAATATCTGGTATCTTAAAAGGTAAATAGTTATACAAAATGAAAGCACAAAGTCTCTTTTATATATTGATGATGAAAAATGGACTGAGGCTGTTGGCATTAAACTGATACGTGAACAGGGCCATTTTGTGCCTAAAGAGATCCTAGTTCTTTGATGAAAAGTTTTGACGACTAAAAAAGTCTTTATTGTAGAATTTTGAACTTCTTTTCTACCTTAGAAAGTAAAGAATGGATCTACTTTTTGCGTAAAAATTGGCAATATCTGATTTTCAAAGAAGGGATGTTTGTAAAACACCTATGCCCCCTCCCCCAAATTGTAATTTTTCAAAGTTCAAGGGACATACCTCTACCAAAAATGGCGCGATCGTACCCAAAACAGAACCTGACAAGATTTTCAGCAGATAAATATTTATACTAAATTTCATTTCAATGTGTGCAACATTTTGCAAAGAAAATGAACGGACACTGCAAATAGATGGAAGTTTTCTAAGTCGAAGGGGCATACATTGTATCTCTAACAAAAAAAGTTCGATTGTTCCAAAAACAAAACTTGACCTAGATATTTAGCAGATAAATCTGTATGCTAAATTCCTTTCCAATATGTGCAACCTTTTTTTGAAAATGAACGAAAACTGCAAATAGATGGAAGTTTTCTAAGTCGAAGGGGCATACATTGTATCTCTAACAAAAAAAGTTCGATTGTACCAAAAACAAAACTTGACCTAGATATTTAGCAGATAAATCTGTATGCTAAATTTCTTTCCAATATGTGCAACCTTTTTTTGAAAATGAACGAAAACTGCAAATAGATGGAAGTTTTCTAAGTCGAAGGGGCATTACTCTAACAAAAATGATTCGATCGCACCCCCCCAAAAAAAACCTGACAAAAATATTCCACTGATAAATCTGTTTACTTAATTTCATTTCAGTATGTTTAACGGTTGTGAAGAAAATGAACGGAAAGTAAATAGACCGACAGACCGACGGACAGAGCAGCAAAGCAATATGCCCACCCTTCTCCGAAAGGAGGGGGGTATAAATATGTTTCAGATTCTGAAATTAAATTCTAAGGAAATATTTGATAAAAAGAATCAAGATGTAAATCGAAAGGTTTTATAGAAGACACAAAAATGAAACTGTGTCAAAAAGAAAAACAGGTAAAAAAATTACAAAAAAGAATCGTTTGAAACTTCTTACGAATATGATTTATAAAATTACGTAAAAATACGAAAAATTATTGTCACACATCTTTTTTCTTTTTAGTTTTCCATGTCCTCTCTTTTAATCCTTCTATGTGCTCTCTCTCTCTCTCTCTCTCTCTCTCTCTCTCTCTATCTCTATCTCTCTCTCTCTTGGGTTGGACATACAGTAAAATGAGATTCAAAGTTTTTTTTTAGGAATGATGAAGGGAAAAATCTTACAAAAACGTTCTCATGAAGGAAAGAACAAGAAGATTAGAAATTTACGTAAAAGCTTTGTTATGTAGTATTGAATTAAGTTTGTTGAAATAAATAGCCCATAGAAAACGAGAGGCCCAAAGGCCACATCGCTCACCTGAGCAAATCGTCTGGAAAAAAAAACACAAATTAGATCAGAACTGAGAAGTTTACTGACATGGGGGGGGGGGGGGGGGGGGGGGGGGGGAGCTTGAATTTTATATTAGTTTAGAAAGCCTTCATATTAATACAGCATATGACTTTGCTGTTCTTGATAAAAAGATTTTTTAAAAACATTTTTCTTTCCTGGCCCAGTGGTTCTTGAGAAGAAGATTTTAAAAGATTTTCCCTATATACTCCTATGTAAAACTTTGATCAGCCATTGTGGCCTCACCCTACCCCAGGGGATCATGATTTGAATAAACTCGAATCTACACTATGTGAGCATGCTTCCACATGAGTTTCATCTTTCCTAGCCCAGTGATTCTTGAGAAGATTTTTAAAGATTTTTCCCTATATACTCCTATGTGAAACTTTGATCGGCCATTATGGCCCCACCCTACCCCCAGGGTTCATGATTCGAACAAACTTGAATCTAACACTACCTGAGGATGCTTCCACATGAGTTTCATCTTTCCTGACCCAGTGGTTCTTGAGAAGAAGATTTTAAAAGATTTTTCCCTATATACTCCTATGTAAAACTTTGATCGGCCATTGTGGCCCCAACCTACCCCAGGGGGATCCTGATTTGAACAAACTTGAATCTATACTATGTGAGCATGCTTCCACATGAGTTTCATCTTTCCTGGCCCAGTGGTTCTTGAGAAGAAGATTTTAAAAGATTTTTCCCTATGTACTCCAATGTAAAACTTTGATCGACCAATGTGGCCACACCCTACCCCCAGGGGTCATGATTTGCTTCCACATAAGTTTCATCTTTCCTGGCCCAATGGTTCTTGAGAAGATGATTTTAAAAGATTTTCCCAATATACTCCTATGTAAAACTTTGATCAGCCATTGTGGCCCCACCCTACCCCAGGGGGATCATGATTTGAACAAACTTGAATCTACACTATGTGAGTATGTTTCCACATGGGTTTAATCTTTCCTGGCCCAATGGTTCTCGAGAAGATTTTTTTTTAAATGCCAATAATTTTTCACTAATTCATAATTATCTCCCCTTGGAAGAGGGCATGGCCCTTCATTTGAACAAACTTGAATTCCCTTCACCTAAGGATACTTTGTGGCAAGTTTGGTTGAAATTGGCCCATTGGTTCTTGAGAAGGAGATGAAAATGTGAAAAGTTTACAACAACGACGACAACGACGGGCGACAGAAAAATTTTGATCAGAAAAGCTCAATTGAGACTTTGGCTCAGGTGAGCTAAAAAGAGGGCGACTAACCTTCCTCATACATACATTCTTATTGAAAGTTCCAGTTATTAGAATAGTAAATGTGAGTTCATAATATGAAAACTACGATTAAAATGCAATTTTACGCGTGCAGTCAATGATAATGTAAAATTACTTGGTTTTCTGTAAGCTATGTTGTCTATGATGTAAATGTCCAAGTGTGGATAGGAGCCAATACAAGATCTCACGATATCAAGTCTCGCGTTTGCCATGTTTCTCCAGAGCCAGGTCAGGTTTTGTTTGTGGTCATTGTGTGACTCTTTTCGGCGTTTAATTTTCTCCCCTGTCTGTTTTAATTCCTTTTGAATCTGTGTTCTCTCTTCTTCACTTTCTTTCAAAATTCTCACAGGAACATTTACTAGAATAATGATAAAAAAAGCTAAAGTATATTCCTAAAACTAACAGGCTTTGACATTCAAGGAGTCAAACAAATATATTTAAGTTCCTTTAATAATGATATGTAGAATGAATTGTTTTGTACATGTATCAAAATCAAACAGACATACATAATTATACGATTTTGCTGATTGCAGAAGCGGTTTTCACTTTTATAAAATGCATACTATTTTTTTCTGAATCAATGTTGAATTTCATTCGTGTCACTTTTAATTGTTTTCATATCAAGGATTTTTTAAAAGATTATTCTGCAATAAAACTACTCATATTGTATAACTCAAAATCACTGTGAAATAAAGGGGTCAGAGTTCATCATACTTAGGTACGTTACCATTAATTTGACCTTTTTGCATTTAGATTTTAAATCTTTTATTCATCACTTTCAGTCACAGGCCTTTGGATCGCTTAAAAAATTGTGTGTGTAAAAAAAAAATGAAGGTACTGAACTTTTACACCGGGTACCTAATTTCGCTAATAAAATATTTTTTATTCTAATGCTCTAAAATTCTACTCTCTATTTAAATCTATTCATAGATAAATATTCTTCAATTCTACCAAAGCTCATTCCGAAATTCCATATATTTCTTGAGATATTCTGAAATCAGTTTAAAAAATTACTTACTTTCTTTTACTCGACATTAGCTTGGACCCTTGCCCCGAGATCATGAAACAAACTTAGACTTAAGTCAAAATTTCAATTATCTATTAAATCTTTAAAACTTGTTAAAGGAAACTCATAATTTGCATACAACAGCAGACTGATGATACAAAATAGGAAAGCATTTTCATTTTGGGCTGCTTGACCTCTAAAAAAATTCAGCATCTAAGGCATTTTTTGACTTCAGCTTAAGATGCTTCATGATCTCTGGTCATTCACATGTAAACAGACGGTGTTTGAAGTGCGGCGACGAGTTGCATAGTATTTGCAAAATCTTTCAACAATTTAAATTTCTTACTCCAGATTGTTAAGTCCGTAATATATTCCTTTCGCGAGAAATTAATTTGAAAACGTCTACAGCAACAACTACCGCCATGTTGATTATAATGTAAATGAAGCCATGGTAGAACGATTTTTTCCCGGAATGCATTATATACCTTTCGATTTTCAAAACAATTAGACCGCTAAAATTTTGTTTATGACTTAGTTACACCATATGATCAAAAGAAAAACTTTGTAAAGCTTGAATGTAAATGAGCAAATATGAATTGAGTTTAGAATAAATTCGGGGGAAAATTTGTCCCATCGTCCCCGCTTTACAATTAGTGAAGGCCTAAGCTGATGTCGAGTAAAAATATTATTGTCAGTTTGGGAATTGATTTTAGAATATCTCGAGAGGTATAAGGAATTACGGAATGAACTTTGGTAGTGATGAAGATTGTTATTTGAATAGATATGGATATAAAGTAAAATTGTAAAGCATTTGATTTAAAAGAATTTTATTGGCGAAAGTAGGTACCCTATGAAAAGAGTTGGTTCCATACCTTTATTTTTTTTTTCAACACCTCAATATTTTTTCTAAGCGATCTGAAGGCCTGTGTTTCAGCTTAAATATATAGAGGCAACTTAGCAACATAGGATCCACATATGATTATCATATGATTCTCATAAGATTGGTTTCATATGAGACTCATAAAAAAGGGCATCATATGTGTATCATATGAAGCAAATCATATGATTTACATATGTTAATCATATGAAAGTAACTTCATATGATTTGCATACGAAAAATTTTAGTTCGTTTCAAGCCATTTACCTATCATTTGAAAATCAAATGATTTACATATGATACAAATATGTAAATCTTATTAAAATAAACTTCATATGATTTGCATACGAAAAATATAAGTTTGTTTCAAGCCATTTACCTATCATATGAAAATCATATGATTTACATATGATACACATATGTAAATAATATGAAAATAACTATATATGATTTGCATATGAAAAATGCAAGTTTGTTTCAAGCCATTTACCTATCATATAAAAATGATATCATGTGTAAATCATATTAAAAACAACCTATGTGTGTTCTCTTTCATTATTTGTCAAAGGGAAATACACATTTTTATACACATTTAAAAATCAGATATTTCAGCTTTAGATGAAAATTCATTACATTCCAACGATCTATCTTCATGGGGTAAATATTTGAAACTATCTTATGATGCTTACACATTTTTTTTGATAAAATTATTTTCATATATTATGGGAAATAACTTATTTTTCACAGTGTACATTCTAAACAAGAAAATATACAAACACGTCAGTAGTATTTGTCAATATATGTACATGTATTTAACTTATTCTAAAATAGATACATTGCTGAGATTCCAGCAAAATCATTAAGTAGTTAAACATGTATACATGTCCAAATGAATAACATAATTTGGTCATGTACAAATGTACTTGTATAAAAGTACCATATGACATGAACGTGTTCACAGCAAAATTTATATATCAGCAGTAACATTTGTCATGTATTCTCTATTGTAAATTTATGAAAAATAAGGTTATTTAATATTCCAGGATACAAATAAAATTGGGAACTCTTTACAGGTCAAATTCAAACAAGATTGTTGACATCTTTCCCATTTCATAATTATTCCATATATTTCTTGTTTCTTTTTCCTTCCAGTTCTCCCCTTCCTGAACAATTTCTTTGTGGCACAAAATGATCTCTTTCAAAATTTCAAAAGTAAAAATAAAATAATTCTCAAATTATAAAAATTTCTACTAGTTATATTAAAGTAACTTTTCATCAGCAAACAAATGTATTCCCGATTCATCGCCACAGATATGATACAAGATAAAACTAATGTAATTTATGTTATACTTGGTGTTTTGTGGAAACCTATGATGTAATTTGCAAGACAATTACACTGTTGGAAGATATGCTTCATATTGAAATCATAAAAAGCATTTTTCTTTTTTACAATTGAATATTGAATTTGGAAAGTTCAAAAAGTATATATTTATTCAAATGCCAAAAATTAAGAAGATTCTGACACAAATATATTATTTTTGGACATTTGAAAGAACGATTTGAAGTAATGCCTGCTGTTCAATCCATTTCTATGAATAATATATATATATATATATATATATATATATATATATATATATATATATATATATATATATATATATATATATACTTTAAAAAACTACAGACAAACTACAGGCAGAAAAACGGACTTTGTGATTCCAGGATATCCAAGACCTTGTTGGATCTTTGAATTTTTTTCTTATGAGAGGCTGACTGTATATTGAACCTGAAAAATAAATATTCACACAGTAGATATTTTCGAAACATAACTAAAACTTACCTAAACTACAAAAGAGAGAGAGAGAGTACAAATTTGTATGTTCTTAATAGTCTTAAATATCTTACATTTTACCTGAAACTAGGTTCTCTAGTGTTGGAAAAAAATTCTAAATTCCAGTCAATGAATACATAGATGTAAATATTCAATGGATACTTTCAACACATACACATGTTCATGTATTTGTACCTTGAAAGTTGCCATTGTTATTTTTTATTTTTAACTGAAATTCAAAAATTCAATTTACCCCCAACCACTGAAGTTACTGTATAGTTTCAGAGCTCTTAAAGCAAGCAAATTCTATTCATACTTTCTATATTTTATAAGTGCACTGGATTAAAATTGTTTTATATTGTAGAATAAAACTTCTATATTATTGAGAAGAATTTGTTTTTGATGAAGCCATGCAAACAATGTAGAATTGTAAAGAAACAAATAGGAAATTATCAAGAAATATTTTAGCATAAAGGAGTCATTACAGATGCACACTTTGATTTTTTATTGCAAGTATTTATTTTTACCTTTAATATTGTGATGATGCAATCGTCTGTCAAATCAGCTTTAGGATCAATCGCCAATCTTATCAGATTTGGGCTTTTGGACTTAATAATAAAAAAAGCAGCACTGTGACACTAAATTCAAATTGTTGAATGCATCTATAGGCCATAAAAACAAAAATTTATTCGTCAGTAAGCTGACGAAAGATTCGACTCGATAACGATCTCAACATACATAAATGCCAACTTCTATACAAGGTTTCTACTTCTACTTGTCTTTCAAATCAGTACGAAACAAAAGTCAAAATTAAAACAAAGCAATGCCTTTAGCCTAACACATGTAAACAAGTAAATTGTAAAGTTGACATCCATTCACTGATTCAAAAAGAACATTTATCCAAAATTACTTACTGATCCCCAACGTTAACTAGGTTTACGAAATGCATTAAGTTAACAATTGCAAGTGATGAGAGTGTTATAGAAATAAGTTCATGCGAACCTGAAACCGTAAATAAAGGATATTTAAACAATATGAATTAAATGTCTATAAAAATTGTTAGGAGATTTCTTACTTTTTCCAACACCCAGCACTTCTGTTGCAGCAGTGACGTCAAACATGACGTAACCTTTCATCCGATAGGTCAAAACCGGTCCGGAAAAAGATGCGGATTTTATTTTGATTTTACTCAATAACTCAAGTTATAAACCAAACCGAAAAGATTTCAAATAAAAAGCAAATTAATTTATCCTTTATCAATTTTGTCTGGGAAATGCATTATAACCGGGAAAATTGTGAAAGGTTTTTTTCGTATGGGAAAGGGGGGGTAAACAGAGTAGAATTTTATATAAGTAATTTCTAACAAATTCTTTTGAAATAATGTACATTTAAATATCTATTGATGTTCAATTGAAATTGCAATTTTACTAGAGTATACCAAGGGCAAATCAGTAAACACTGATTCATATGATTCTCATATAATCACTGATTCATATGATTCTCATATGATCACTGTCAAAATATTCATATAATTCTCATATGAATGATTTTTCATATGTGAATCATATGTACATTACTTCATAGGATTCATATATGTGTGATAATATGATCCACATATTATTTTCTACAGATGATTCTCATATGATTGTATATACATATGTTTCTCACATGATTCACATTTGATCCTCATATGAAAGGCAATGCATATGTGGATCATTTGTGGTTAAATTGTATATGTATTTTATCCAATGATTATAATTTTTTTAACGTATATTAGTTTGAATAATACTTATCATTGAAGAAATATTGGAAATTGATGCGCGTAAATCATTGTGCAATCATTTAAATTTGAACAAAATATATTTGGTATTAAATTCTAAATAGGATATTACATATTTTTAAATTAAACTTTAGAAAAAAAAAACGGGACTTTTTATATATCTTCATTTCTGGGCAGATTTTGTTTAGGGAGGTGTAATTTTTTTTCTAATAATATAAATTTACATTTTCAATATTCCTTGTATATCCAAAAGAGGGGAAAATATTTTCCGAAGAAAATTATGGGAGGCTCAAGTATATAGATATTAAATTTGATAAAATGCGGAGAATTTTCTGCTACATATCCTTCCACCACAAGATATAGTCCCTCATAAATCTTACTTGTTTGTGAATTTTGAGGAAGGTTTTCATTAGATGTTGAACAATTTTCACTGCTTAATTTAAATATTTTTTAAAATGGAAATATAATAAATAGAATTTTAGATTTTAAATTTAAAGTTAAAACGTTAAAAGTTTTGCCTGAACTTGTCTGAAAAGCTGACGTTTGACATACCTTGATATGAATGAGGAATTATTTTCGAATTACTCAATACGAAAGTTTGACACTGTAAAAAAATAACTAGTTAATGTCACGAAGAAAACTAGTAGATTCAGTATCCATACAATCACTACCTTAATGGTAGTTTTACCAGATATTGGTATATTTACTAGGTAAGATTAGTAAGTTTAGAATTGATGAGTAACTTTCACTAGGTATCTTGGTATCTCTACGACCCCCGCTCCTCAATTCACTATCTTAACCAGTAAACTGAAAGTTTACTAATCAGACCAATGCTTTACGAAACAAACTAGTTAAATTCACTAGGTTTTTCTTTCAGTGTATCAATTTCATTTTTTTAAAAATAGATATGACGAAATGAATGCCTGCATGAATTTGAATATTACGTATCATACAGAATTGTATTATCATGTGTTATAACATTGGGAAAAGTTGGCTTTTACGAATAAGAATATTGATGGCACTTCAAACAATTATTTGCCAGTTTGTGCCTTTGAAAAATTAGCTGATAAATATATTTATTATAAACCTAATTCTTATAAACTTAAAAAACTTTACCGCACTATTAGAGATCTGCGTGTCCTTCTAAAATATTTTTTTCTCATACGAACACAGTGTTTCAAATTAAACAAATAGATATAAACCAGTTATACATGCATGTTACACTTACATATTTGAGACACTTTATCACAGATCTCCGTGTCTTCCATGGTGACGTGAGTCAATATGTTCATCTGTAGACGGCGTATCAGAATGTCATCAAAGTAACTCTCATCACTACTGACACAATTCTCCCCCTTTTTTTTGTTGTATCTGCGTGATCTCAGGTATCTCTGTGCTGTGATTAAACTGGATAAATCAAACAGGATACCAGTACCACTGACACCTCTTGAAATACGGTACACGATCCAATCCTGTGCGTCCTCGGTGAGATTGCCCCTTGCTTGGTCCGCCCAAAGGTACTCACGTAACTTCAATCTGTTCAGTGTATGCTGTGCTTCCGCACTTGTTATAGGATTTTCTTTATCGTACACTTCCTCTCGTATCTTATTAAACATGTCTAGCCACTCAGTGTTAGTGAAGTCAGGAGGACCGTAGTCAGAACACATAAAACAAAATAATACCGTCACCTCGTCATCAGTCATTAGTTTGGAGAACTCCAACTCTACAAAATAAGTTTTGCATTGTTGAAATCAATTTAAGGTACAGTTCCGACAAGACCCAACCTGATACCCAAGCAGTCCTAGAAAGCAGTCCTCGTGACTGTTTTTGGACGACTGTGTGACTGCTCTGGAACCGCTGTGGGACTGCTCCGGGACCGCTATGGGACTGCTCTGGGACTGTTGTGGGACTGCTGGGACTGCTCTGGGACTACACAATAGAGAGTAGACCCAGCAGTCCAAGCAGTCTCTGTGACTGCTTTGTTCACTAATGCGTGAAGAAAGTTGATATGACATAATAACTCCGCCCCCTTTTGTATTCTGAATTTGCAGACTCCCTGTTCTTAATTTGTTTACTTTAAGCACAGATGCTCTTAAAAATTAAAAACAAGGATATTTTTTTAATACGAAAAGATCAGTATAGTTACTGAATGTCTTCAGGGGTTGTAAATTTACACAAATGCAGTCTAGAAATATTTTTTACCAAAAAATAAATAAATACATATAGTAGTTAAAAAGGGAAGTTATGAGATGATTTTAATCCAATTTAAACTAAATTTTTTCTTGAAAAAAGTTTGGACTTATTTAATTAATAAAGATGGTAATTTTTTTTTCTCAAATTTTACATTAGCACTATTTTAAAAAAATCATTAGAGTTACACGTAGATTTAAGAGTTGTTTCAATTGATTAAGCAACATGTAAAACAAGTACGGTGTCCTAAAAGAGTTTTTCATACAGCCCTTAAATTAAACCTAATAATTTATTAAATTACAATGAAATAAAATTATGCTACAATTCTTCAGGAACATAAGCAATGTGAACAATTAATTATACTGGTGAATTTATTTAAATGAATTAGTTTTAAATTATAATTAAGTTATTAAAAGAGTACATAAATAAACAGTTGAAGTTATCGGGAATTATGACTTTTTTTCTTGTTTTGCTTGTGTTTACCTGGAGGAATAATATGGTGAGAACACCTGCGGTTTCAATCGCCTTTGGTCATGGTAAGCAAAAACTCAATGCATATTATTTGGGTATCAGAGTTGTGCATCATTGAAAATGCTGGTCATTAATGACCCAAATTTCAATCTATGTAGTGCAAAAATATGTAGTCATTAAATATGTTTAACTGTCTGTCGGGATTAATTAATTCTGAACGTAATGAGGTTTCCATCATTGCGGTTTCCAGATGTACACTCAAAAGTTTACCTGATGAAACACACAATTCAAACAGCGTGCTATCGTTTTTTTATGTTAAATAGAGTAACTAATGATAATTAAATTGACATATCTGTAAAAATAATCATGACTGAAAATATTCGGCAAAATAAACAAAGAACTTCCCAAAAATCCATCACATGTACTTAAAATTATGCTTAAGCAGTCTCAGAAAGCAGTCCCCATGACTTCTATGGGACTGCTTTGTCTCAGGTTTGGTCTGGTCAGAACTGTCGAGTATTTTAAAATTTTATCAACATTTTATTGATACATTCAATAAACCCTGTTCTGATGAGACTTTTTTTTGAAACTCAATTCAAACTAGTGCTAATTGTAACGGGAACCGTTACAGATGTTCCCCAAACGCTCCCCAACTCCCTTTTAGTGCCATATTCCCTGTAATATACTATATAGGAAAGCATTCAGTCCAAAAGTATTAAAAATCACTCATTCAAGTGTATTTCTTATTTCATTCGTTCCAAATGCATGCACGTGCGTGCACGTGCATGATGACCATACCTTCTTGTAGGAGTCCCTTATATTTATCTATGTTCTGAATCCCATCCTGTTTGGTTGAAAAACAAGGGAGTTAAAGCCATTTCAAGTTTCAGCCAATCAGATTGCAGCACACGTGCATGCGCGTGATTTCATGATTTTTTTTTCTATATCGTATTGTAGGATATCCTAATGAATGACTATGTTTTAATTTCAAAGCATTTCGTCAAAAAACAAAGGAGATATAGTCATTTAAAGTTTCAGCCAATCAGATCGCAGCACACATGCATGCGCGTAATTTCTTGAAATTTTTTGTATATCATATTGCAGGACATCCTAATGTACGATTATGTTTTAAATTTCAAAGCATTTCGTCAAAAAACAAAGGCGATATAGTCATTTAAAGTGTCAGCCAATCAGATTGCAGCACACGTGCATGCACGTGATTTCATAAAAATTTTTCTATATTATATTGTAGGATATCCTAATTCATGACTATGTTTTAAATTTCAAAACATTTCGTCAAAAAACAGAGAAGATACTGAGATTTTTGTTTCAGCCAATCAGAGCGAAGCGCATGTGCATGCGCGTGAGTTCGTGCTAATTTGACAGTGTCACATTATCTACACTATTAATATATCTTTATATAATGAGTTTCAAATCATTTCATTAAAAAATTTAAAAGTTATAGCTATATTAAGTATATAAGTCATTTCACGTGTTGCACGTGCACGCACGTGCAGGCGTATGCGCGCAAAATGACCTTCGTTCCGCGCACCTACACTACACACCCATTAACCCTAAAAAGGTTTTAGGTCAGTTGGGTGAACAGTTTCTGAGAACACTTCCGGAAAAAAAAGTACCGGAGAACAAATAAGAAAAAAAAGAATAACTAGAGCAAAGCTCGTTGCAAAGCAACGAGTAGGTCTTCCGTCATGTTTGACCGGAAGTAGCTTTCATTTTTGACAAAAAAGAGTAATAACGCCCAAATATGGTTTGAATCTTTTAAATCCATGCTAATTAATGCAAAAATAAGCCATTTTTTTGCTACTTCCGGTTTGACCGGAAGTGACGACGACGGACAGAAAATTAATTTTAATGCTCTTAGAGACTTTGGTACCAAAAAAACTTATCAAGAAAGGCAAAAATACGCGTTTTCCGTCTACTTCCGGTTTGGCCGGAAGTGACGATGCCGGACGAATTTTGACGACTCCAATAGATGTAGCTTGACATTTTGAACAATTTTGCTTCTTTGACGTATTACAAATTCTCAATACTTTTTGAGATATTAAAGAAAAATTTTCGACCCCTCTAGGCCCTTAATTTTAGGGGTCAGCCCTTTTTTTGAGATATCATTTGAAAGATCTTGGAATTCTACACTTCTTTTGTAATACATGTTTTAACAAAATATTTCTAGGTAAAGAGTTATCGTTGAAAAGGTATCAAAATTTTTGAAATTCGTGAAATGACTATTTTCTGGCCATAACGAGCTTCAGTACACAGCAATTTTGGTGAATATGAAAAACGTTCCGCACAACTACATTTATTGCTCTATTATCACTGAAAATCTCAAGTTTCTATCTTGAGCTGTTTTCGAGAAAACTTGCGGACAAACTAACCCTCAAAAATTCACTAAAATGCACAAATCTTGGAACCGGAAGTGACGTCATCAAAATGAAAAAATATATGTCTAGATTTTTACATGTTCCATCAGCCCTGAACGTTTCATGAAAATCGAACAAGCCGTTTTCGAGAACTCGCGTGCACAAAATCGGTAAGAAAAAAAAGAAAAAAACTGTGGAAAAGAAACCTAAGAATAACAGAAAGGTCTTCCGTTGGAAACGGAAGACCTTAATAACTAGAGCCGAGCTCGTTGCAAAGCAACGAGTAGGTCTTCCGTCCTGTTTGACCGGAAGTTACTTTCTTTTAAGAAAAAAAAGACAAATGAGGTCCAAATATGGTTTAATCCTTCAAATTAATGTTAATTATTGCAAAATTAAGCCATTTTTGGCAACTTCCGGTTGGACCGGAAGTACCGTCGACGGACGGAAAATTAAAACTTAAGCTTCCAGTGACATATGATATCCAAAAACCTGTCAAGAACAGCAAAAATATGCAATTTTTGACTACTTCCGGTTTGACCGGAAGTGACGTCGCCGGACGTATTTCGACGACCCCATTAGATAAAGCTTGACATTTTGTACAACTTTGCTTCTTTGACGTATTAGAAATTCTCAATACTTTTTGAAATATAAAGGAAATACTTTCGGCCCCTCTAGGCCCTTCATTTCAGGGGCCAGTCCTTTTTTCGAGATATCATTTGAAAGGTCGTGTAATTCTACACTTCTTTTGTTCTACATGTCTTAACAAAATATTTCTAGGTAAAAAGTTATCTTTGAAAAGGTGTCAAAAATTTTGAAATTCTTGATTGGACTTTTTTCGCGCCATATCGAGCGTCGGCGCTTCGTACTTCCGGTAAAAATGATATACTTAATTCACTTCTCCAAAGGTTGCTCTATCATCACTAAAAATTTCATACCTCTATCTTCAACGGTTTTTGAGAACATTGCCGGACAAAGTGACCCTCTAAAAATAACAAAATCGCGAAAATCTCCGAACCGGAAGTGACGTCATCAAAATAAAAAATTTTATTTCTAGATATTTTGATGTTCTATCAGACCTGAAAGTTTCATAAAAATCCATTGAGCCGTTTCCGAGAACTCGCGTGCACAAAATCGGTAAGAAAAAAAAATAATAAGAAAAATAGTGGAAAAGAAACCTAAGAAAAACAATAAGGTCTTCCGCTGAAGACGGAAGACCTTAATAATAATAATAAGAAACAGAGTAAAAACAATATGTTCCCAAACTCCGTTTGGGGAACATAATTTTCCTCTATTGGTAAGATACACCGATTAATATTCTTTGAACTTGCACAAAATAAGTTGTCAGCTGCGTTCTATTATGTTCCCCAAACGGAGTTTGGGAACGTATTGTTTTTACTCGGTTTCTTATTATTAAGGTCTTCCGTCTTCAGCGGAAGACCTTACTGTTATTCTAAGGTTTCTTTTCCACTATTTTTATTATTGTTTTTTTTTCTTACCGATTTTGTGCGCGCGATTTCTCGAGAACGGCTCGATCGATTTTCATGAAACTTTCAGGTCTGATAGAACATAAAAAAATCTAGATATATATTTTTTTTATTTTGATGATTTCACTTCCGGTCCGGAGATTTCTGCGATTTAGTGATTTTTAGAGGGTCACTTTTTCC